GTGTCTTCCTTTACTGCCATGTTAAAAATTGCTGCACTTAAAATTACTCGTCTTCTGCCCAGCGTGGTGGCACATGCCTTTAATCCCAGCCCTTGGGAGGCAGAGACAGGCGGATCTCTGTGAGTTCAGGGCCAGCCTGGTCTATATAGTAAGTTCCAGGCCAGTTGGGGCTACAGGGAGACCCTGTCTCAAAAAGACAAAAAAAAAAAAAAATTACTTGTCTTCAACTGGTGTAAACCTGAATCCCCTTCCTTATTTTTTTCTCTATACTGCACTAGTTCCCTTCTAATGCTCTATGTTGCCTATTATATCTCTTTCCACTAGAAACTGTGAGACTGGGGACTTTTGAGTTTTGCTCACTTCTTTCTTGACAGCTCCTGGAGCTTTGCCTGGCCCTCGTCAGGTCCTCACTGGTTAGTGAGTATTAATTCCATATTTGCATCCTCTCCTCCTCACTGGGACATACTCCATCTGTCCCTCTTCCCGGGTCCCTGCCCTTTATCCTAGTTTGGGACTCTGCTTCCATTCCCTTATGAGGGTATTTCCATTGTACCGACCACACTGCATCTCAATGACTTCTCACTGTGGGCTTCTTGAAAGTAGGGACCACCAAGACACATGTATCCCTCAGTCCAAGGGGTCAGCTCTGTGCTTTAAGGAGCAAGTCTGTATTTGATTGCTGACTAAGCCAGTGAATTCACCTGTTGCTCTCTCAGCCTCTCCCTGGCTCCCTCCTTCCTTCTTCCCTCTCTTCCTTCCATTTTTGTTGTGTTGGAGTCGGAGCCTAGGGTCTGCCTAGCCACATGTTGGGTTGGATCCCCAGCACCACATAAAACCTATAATCCCATATATAAGCTGAGAACGCCTTGAAACACCTCTCTCGCCATATTGTGCGGCTGTAGGGAAGTCACAGGATCTATGTGAGTGTGGACTTTCCAGTGCAGTCATAAATTGGGGGGGGGGCTCTTCTGTAAATAAGTCCCCACCCTATGCTGTTAGCAAGCCCAACAAACTAGTTAGGATTTCAAAAAACAAAAACCAAAACAAAACAGAAAAGAGCAGAGCTGATGGAAACCTTCGTTATTCCACCAAAGTTGACCCCGTGTTGGCAAATCCTTTGGTCTTTGATTTTTCTTTTTTTTTTTTTTTTGGTCTTTTTGAGACAGGGTCTCCCTTTGGCCCCAGCTGGCCTGGAGCTCGATGAGGGGACTGGGTTGGCCTTGAACTCACAGAGATCTGCCGGACTCTGCCTCCTAAATGCTGGGATTGAGGATGTATGCCACAACACCTGGTTTTGGTCTTTAATTTCTTATCCTTTTCCACCCTTAAACTTCATTGTATTTATTATTTATTTATTTACTTATTTACTTATTTATTTATTTACTTATTTATTTTATTTATTTACTTATTTATTTATTTATTTATTTATGTAACCTGCTTCAAATTATTTCTGGAAAAACTCCCTCTCTTTGGAATAATAAAAAAATTCTTAAAAATAAAAACAACCCAAAACCTACAATCCCAGAAATTCAAGGGCATTCTTGGACATAAAGAAACTTGAAGGCCAGCCTGGGGTACATGAGACCCTGAGGCCCTGTCTTATAAAAGGAGGGGGGGAGAGGGAGGAAGAGAAAGAGAGAACCTTGGCTAGAAAAGAAGGACGGAGAAACCCTGGTCAGTTGACCCTTAGGGTGAAAAGTGGCTGTACAGGAGATGCAGATGTCAGACCTTCCTGGGAATAAAACCCCTTGATGGGAACTAAAACCCAAAGGAGTGCAGAAAAGGGAGTTTAAAGTTAAGAAATAAGAACCAGAGCCAGACCTGCGACAGGCAAGGAGTGTGTGCTTTTATTCAGAGGACACAGTGAAGGACACAGGCCTTTCTGCACGGAAGGAGGCATCTGCATCTCGCAGGTGTGTGTGTGTTGGGGGGTGTGGTTGGACTTATAGAGGAACTCGTTGAACATACCTGCAAGAGTTAACTCTGTGCCAGGGTCTCACATACTTGAGAGCCTCTCTCTCTCCCAAGATTATTTTTTCAGGCAGGCAAGCTGTCTTAGGGCACTAAAGAAGACAGGCTGGCTCCATAAACAGTATCCCCCAGAGCAGAGAGTGACCAGTTGATAAGGCTTGAAGAAGGCCAGCCTGCCAATTTAGGGTCAGTTAGCTTTCCCTAATGAGTCCTGTGGCTCTCCTGCGAGTCACACATTCTATCAGGGAGAAGAGCCCATTGGGTAATGGAAGGGCTGTGAGGTCCCCAGGTAGCAAGGAGGTGGGCTCAAATACAAGGACTATTTCAGGATAAGGTAATCTGCCCCCCTGAAACATGATGTGGTTTGCATGTTAAAAAAGAAGGAAATGTAAAAAGACACAGCTGGGAAAGTCTCCTGGGAAGGAGTCAGGGTCTCTGGTCACGGCTTCTGGTATGAAAGAGTGAGGGAAGGCATCACTTGCTTTCCAGACCAACCAGCCTTTGGGGTTCATGATCCTGGAGTGGGAGAGGGAAAGTGACGGTCATCTTTCTGACTGTTCACTCATTCATTGAAACATTTCTGAGACAGACACTGTTCTAAACCCTGGGGATACAAAAGGACATGTTAACAGCCAATCCAACTAAAACCCTTAACGTTCTGGGTTTGTGTAATCCATAGTCCAGTCTGAACAAGCATTCTCTGGCAGCCTCCCTGGGTGGGGAGCACTACACAGTACGGTGAGGCTGACCAGGCGAAACAGAAGGCTGGGAGGAGGGTGAAACACCAGTCCAGTGGGACAGTGTGGGACCAGAGCATCTCAGGCTCTTGCTGGGAATGTTGACAGGGACCATTAGAGTAGAACTATAACCCCAATTAGGCTAGAAGCACAGCCATGATAATCACTTAGCTACAATGATCATTGAGTTAAATAAGGGAAGACTTGTAAACAGACCTTTTGAGAATGCCTGCAGAGGCCTGGAAACTGGTTGTTGATATCCTTCCCCAACAGGGAAGCTGTTGCTAGGGTACCTGAGACCAAATAGCCTTAGATGATGGCTCTCCTGACTATAGAGACCTGCCGGCCAGAAGCAGAAAGGTGTGCACATGCCTGGGCCATGACTCCTGGTTTAAAAATAAACATTCTCCGAATTGTAAAAAGTCTATCTCTCAAACACTTTACAAAAGTAATTCCCTAGACTGTGCATTTTATGTTCTCTGTATATTCTGTGAATGTTTTGTAGAGTAGAGACAGGAAGAGGTGCAGTGTTTATTTCAGATACAAAGGAAATCTATCCTGGAGAACACTAGAAAGTTGCAAGCACACTATGCCAGAAACAGACCCTTTGTGTCCTTCCACAATGGCAGAATTTATTGAATAACAATAAATTCACCTATGTTGATCTCATTGGCTGCAATTTACCAAGTGGTTGCAAATTCCCTTAATAGTTGGCCACTGGCAAATGCTGGTTCTTTTATTATAATCTTAACTTCTAATATTAACTCTCAGATCACACATTACACATCACACCATAATTTTATCTATCTATCTATCTATCTATCTATCTATCTATCTATCTGTCTGTCTGTCTGTCTGTCTGTC